ACTCAATTTGCTAAAAAATTTGTAAACCACTTAGAGAGGGCTGAAAGCCCTATGAAGCGGTATATAAGTCTAATTAATCTAATTAACAAATCTCTATTCTTAACCTAATATTTTAACCCCTGTTTCATATACCAATGTTCCTGTAGTTGCACCTAAGATATAAGAGCAAATAGCAGAAGGTGTATTTGTTCCACCTACCAAAAACAAAGAATAAAAATAAAAATCTTATAGTGGTTTTATATACAAATCATCCATTGAACATGAGAGAGCATTGCTTCTTAGGGAAACTGAATTAGTTCATAATTTTTTTTTTCATTTGAGAATTCAGAACTGTGAGTAAAAAAAAAAAAATCATAATTCATGCAATTTTTTTCTTCACAGTGTGGATTCTTTAGAAAGAACACTGATCGGTTAGAGCCGAGGTGGGTAGAGTGCAGTACTGCAGGCCACTTCAGCTGACTGCTATCTGCAGTTCAGCGGTTCAAATCTCACCGGCTCAGAGTTGACTCAGCCTTCCATCCTTCCGAGGTGGGTAAAATGAGAACCCAGACTGTGGGGGCGATATGCTGACTCTGAAAACCGCTTAGAGATGGCTGAAAGCCCTATGAAGCGGTATATAAGTCTAACTGCTATTGCTATTGCTATCCTGTTATGCATCAATATGGAATGCAACAATTCATATTCCTGAATATAAAATATTGCATTGTTTTTTTTTCTTCAGATGCCATTCTTCAGATGTTGTTAGATTATAAATAACCTACATCAGCCTTCTCCAACCTGCGTACTTGACTACCTATTAACTGAGCAAATGGATCTCCTGCCTGAAAATGGGAGCTTAAGGTTAATGTAAGAGGAGGATTCAAAGTTTTGCTATTTTTGTGTTGGGTGGACGCAACATCCCCTAGATCTTTTAAATTCTTTGCTTACCTGCATCCCAATGATTGCATAAATGAAGAAGAGCATTGCAATGAGAAGGCAGACATAGGGGAGAGCCTGGAAAAGGCAAATCATACAAAGTACTTTGTTATTACAGGCATAGTATTTATATGCTTAAAACAGTAACATTCGTATGTACTTAAAGTAGTAACAAATAAGCGGTGGCTGAGAAGATAAGAATTTTCTGTCTAAACCAGTGTTTCTCAACCTTGGCTGGGGAATTCTGGGAGTTGAAGTCCAGACATCTTCAAGTTGCCAAGGTTGAGAAACACTGGTCTAAACTAACTAAATGTTTTGTGAACCAAAGTGAAGCTAAGAAGCTAAGTTTAAGAAATATGATAATAAAAAGATTGGCATCAATCCAGAGCAGAGTAACAGGTGACTTAATTACAGTTTCTTTAACAAACATGCAAATGATCAGTGGGAGGTAATAAAAAGTAGAAAAATACAGAGGCAATTAAAGCACTAAGTATTTTATTTTTGCTATATGTAAGTGCACAAAATAAGACAGAAGATTTAAGAGCTATTAAACAATAATATGCTCTCTTATGCCACTTGCAGATTGACAATTTTCATGATTACTATAATCTGGCAGCATGGAGTCCTTTCACTTTAAAACCCATTTTTAAACCTAAACCTACAAAAAATAAATTTGGCAATCGTATTTCTAACCTTAAATAGGCCTTGATTGATTACGTACCATCAAGTCACTGTCAACTCTTCAGCAACCATATAGATAGATTTTCCTCCATCTATCCCTAGGTGCCTAGGTGGTGCAGTGGTTAAATGCAGGCTACTTCAGCTGACTGCAGTTCAGCAGTTCGGCTGTTCAAATCCCACCAGGCTCAAGTTTGGCTCAGCCTTCCATCCTTCCGAGGTGGGTAAAATGAGGACCCGGATTGTTGTTGGGGGCAATATGCTGACTCTGTAAACCGCTTAGAGAGGGCTGAAAGCCCTATGAAGCGGTATATATAAGTCTGACTATTGCTATCCCTAATCTGATCTTTCAGATCTTCTATTGCGTTTAAAGAACGCAATATAACTCTCAAAAAAACCCTGCTCCATGAATATGGCCAAGTAAATTTTGCAAGCCTTAGACTCCAGTGAGGCCCTCAGCCACTTCTGCATAAAGAGCCGAGGTGGCGCAGTGGTTAGAGTGCAGTACTGCAGGCCACTTCAGCTGACTGTTATCTGCAGTTCAGCGGTTCAAATCTCACCGGCTCAAGGTTGACTCAGCCTTCCATCCTTCCGAGGTGGGTGAAATGAGGACCCAGACTGTGGGGGCAATATGCTGACTCTGTAAAACCGCTTAGAGAGGGCTGAAAGCCCTATGAAGCGGTATATGAGTCCATCTGCTATTGCTATTGCTATAAATGTTTAGACATTTTTACATATTGTGCATAATAGATTTGATCTGACTCTGCAAAACATCCAAATGTAGGAAGGAATAAAATAAATTGGAAATCTGTAGAAGGATGCAACCAGACATATGGGAGACAGAGGAGTATAACAGGGATGAGAAAGGAAAAGCCAAGTTAGATAAGAAAGAAGCAAAATAATCTGCACAAATATAAAGAAAGACCAAGTAACTCAGTTCTATCGCTAATAATGGTTCAGATTATTGTTTATTTGATCAGTCCATGCTTGTTTCACCACTAATTGTAGTTCAGAGCATTGTTTACTTCTCCATGAAGACTGGAAGACTGCCATCAACCTTTCCTCATGGCATAGTTTTGGCCATAGTGAGCCATGATCTTTTGGTTTTAATATCCTTTCTTGTGGTTACAATATTGTAGCTTACTAAGCTAGCTTTTAACTAGCTTAATAAGGAATATATGGTCTGTATGTAATATATTATAATTATTTATGGTTGTTGTTTTTAATTTGGGGCCTAAATTACTGGTTCTAAGTGTCTTCCTGCTCCCAATTGGTCTTTTAAACTATGCTGGTTTCTGCAATTGTTTGGTTGACTTTAATCTAGATATTATCCCCTTACAATTATCAGTCAGTATGGAAAAAGATATCCTTAACAGGTGCAAGCCCTTAGCCAATCTGATAATTTCTCCAAAACTGAAAAGGATTATTTAGATGGGATATCCCAGAGTTGTAAATTAGACTGGAAAGATGAAAAAAAAAAGGATGTTGGAAAAATTATTGGCTAATTATTTTCAAATTACTGCCAATACCTGCTTATTTGTTTGTTTGTTTGTTTGTTTGTTTATTTATTTGTTTGTTTGTTTGCCTTGTATGCCGCCCACTCCCGGAGGACTCCGGGCGGCTCACAAAAGACAAGGGAAAGGGGGGAAACGAGACAAAGACAACATATTAAAAACAAAACCAACATTCACAATTTCCGTGGAGGTAAATGCTTCTCAGCCCCCCCCCCCACCTGCTGGAACAGCCAGGACTTGGTGGCTTTGCGGAAGGCCGGGAGGGTAGTAAGGGTCCGGATCTCAACAGGGAGCTCGTTCCAGCGGAGACTGGCTTTATTTTATGGATGAATAATGCATATTTGGAGAGTGGCCAGGTTGTGACAGGTTATTTATTTATTATTCATTTATTATTTATTAATAAAATTTATAGGCCGCCCAATCCCAAAGGACTCTGGGCAGATTACAAAGAAAAAAAAGTTATGAAAGTGTTATATCTTAGCTTCTGAAAAGGTAAAAACTAATAATAAATGAATACTTTTTACTTTATATTTTTCCCCCCAAAAAATTTTTGTAGCACCTTTTGTTGCATAGGAAGAAGAAAAGAAAAAATACGGAAAGGATGTATTGTTTGCTGTGATGGAAGAGGCTGAGGGAACCATGGAACAATGAATACTATTTTTAATAATGAAGTGGTAAAGACTCCAGATTGTTATAGCCACATGGAAGCAAAAGAATTGGCAGAGGGGGATTTGATCCTCAGTGAAAGCTGCATCCCACTGGGTTTGCAATATAAAACAGGCAATGGGGCTTTAGATTTGCTTTGGAAGAGGTGTTTAGAATGTGTGGGTGTGTGAAGTGAGCCTGTGACTCATCAAAGTAGCCATGTCTGTTTCCAGAATCTCATAGCTGTTGCACATTCTGAAGCACCTCTTTTGAATCAAGCATTCCACAGCCATAGCAATTGCAGATATCCGAGAGGTGGGGACAATTAGCTGTAAGTCTTTTAAGCAGAGTTCCTCTCCCCCTGAATAACAGACTACATACATCCTTCTTAAAGTGATTGAGCCTTCTTAGGTATGTCTTACTTGTGGTATAAAGGATGCTGGAGTAGTAAGGTTTTTAGGCTACTGTACCGCTGTGTGTTTATGCCAGATAGTTAGAGTATCCAATCTTTCTTAAAGTAGAATTCCTCAAAAATTCCTCATCTGTGAAACTCGAAGAGATGGCCATTTATATGGATAAAGAGGATGAAAGCTTGCTAACTTTTTCTGTTTACTGTTTACTGTTTATTAGGATTTGTATGCTGCCCACTCTCGAGAGACTCAGGGCGGCTTACAGATAAACAGGGAGGGAGAACATATAAAAATTAAAAAGAACAGAAAAAAGGTTTTCATGAAACAATCCAAACAAGTAGGTAGATAATAT